AAACAGCTCGCCTCAAAAACATCAAAGGGCAGAGCTAACTGTGTGTGCCTGTCAACATCAAAGAACAGTTCCGTGTGAAAAGTGTGCACGAACCGACACAGAACCTGTGGTTTCTTAGTACTGTGGAGTCAATTAATAAAGCTATTTCATACAATGGAAAACAAGCGGCTATATGAACAAGCGTCTCAATATTAGGTCATATATCAGTATTATTCTTTTAAAGACGAGCTTGTTACACAGAGTTCGATCGAATCTGAATAATGTTCAACAATGGGCAATATTACCGTGGATGGAAGCGGGCGCATGTCTCTATTTTCATCTGTGTTATTTGATATGTGAGTTATCATTTGTTATATATAGTGAGGAAATTACTTTTTCTCGGTAGTCCTATCTATGACCCAGGCAAGAAACTATACATTTATATATTAATAAGCCAACGTGTAGTAAATATAGCAGTGACGAAAACTTATAGATTTTCATTAATTGTGCAATTTTACATTTATAAACTTGCTTTCGAAACAAGATTCGTTAATCTGATAACAATGGCGATTAGAATATATCGGATAATCAAATTGGGGTTGGTTATGATATCGGGAAAGGACGGTACTGCGTGTGATCAATTTTAAGATATGAGCATTTATAGTTCAGTGGTACGCACGATAATTTGTAAACAAATTTAACCCACAAAAAAGATCAAATATATAAATAACTGCAGTCCGACTATGGTACGAAGTACAAAACATGTAGTATTTATCAAGAAATGAAATACGTATAAGAAAGGATATAGTACCTATCCCACGTATAAATCCATGTATAAAGACCTACACTTAACAAAGACCGATCTGCGTAAAACAGTATCGAACAAAAAATCGCACGGTAAATTAGATTTAACACCTACACATCAGATAAAGCCTGCTGGTCCTTGATGAATCACCTTTGCTGCAGTTATAACACGCTTTCGAGAAAACTCACCAAACAAAGAATACACACTGTGTCAGTCGTTTTTAACCCGTTCGTTAATTAACACACCAGTACAGAAAACGCACCGTCACTGAGATTTTCACCCCTTGCGATAATTATATAACCTTTCAGTCAATTTCTCACCCCTGTTAATTAACACACCGTACCTACAGATTTTACCCTCTTCGTATTAGATTTGTTGCGATAATTAGAATTTTACCGATATTGGTACAAATTTACTAAAAAGCGCGAAATCTATACTGTAAACGTACAAATCTCACCTTTACTACTTCTCAGTGTAAGTTACTATATTACTGGTAATATATTGTTAATTGAGCAAAGATAATTTAATCTATCACACAATTGTATTAATGTTGTAGTCAGTCTAGTTGCAGTACTTTATTAGTCTGTTCCCACTCCATATGAGTTTTGTGGCTAGTCTTTTGTCTTAAGCTGGACATATGTTTCTTTGTTTTTATAACTTTTAATCTATCACACATGTGTTATACAATTAATTATGTATAGACTTGGTAGTCAGTCTAGATGCAGTAGATGGTCTTTTATTTGTTTGTCTGGGTTTTATGGCCTGTATTTTGTCTTTTAACACTGAGAAGTAGTAAGAGTGAGATTTGTACGTTTAGGGCATAGATATCTCCCGATTTGGTAAATTTCTATGAATATCGGTAAAATTCTAATTATCGCAACAAATCTAATACGAAGAGGCTAAAATCTGTAGGTACGGTGTGTTAATTAACAGGGCTGAGAAATTGACTGAGTGGTGATATAATTATCGCTAGGGGTGAAAATCTCGGCGACGGTGTGTTTTCTGTACCGGTGTGTTAATTAACGAACGGGTTAAAAACGACTGACACGGTCTGTATTCTTTGTTTGGTGAGTTTTCTCGAAAGCGTGTTATAACTGCACCAAAGGTGTTTTATCAAGGACCAACAGGCTTTATCTGACGCGTAGGTGTTAAATCCAATTTACCGTGCGATTTCTTGTTTCCGTGTGTTTTAAGCAGATCGGTCTTTGTTAAGTGTAGGTCTTTATGCATGGATTTATACGTGCTGTAGTTAAATTTGTTCGTTCTTATACGTATTTCATTTCTTGGTGAATACTACGTGTTTTATACTTCGTACCATAGTCGGACTGCAATTATTTATATATTTGTCTTTTTTGTGGGTTTAATTTGTTTATATATTATCGTGCGTACCACTGAAGTATAAATGCACGTTACTTACCGATATCCGGACCAACCTCCATTGATATCAGACTAACGAATCTGTTTCGAAAACCAAGTTAATAAATATAAAATCGAGCAATTGATGAAAAACTATTGGTTTCATCATGTCTATATTTACTACACGTGGGCGTTTTAATGCATAAATGTATTGTTTCTTACCTGGGTTGTAAAAAGGACTATCCAAGAAAAATTTAATTTCCACATATATATCAAATGATAATTCACATATCAAATAACACTAATGCAAATAGGGACATGCGCCGGCGGTGATATTGTCCATTGACCTTTGACTTAATATGGAATAGAGGCTTTACAAGAACAGCTAATTTTAAACACTTGTTAATATTTCTATTGTTTACGATTGTATGAAATAGCTTTATTATTTTTCTCCCGGTACTAATAAACTACGGGTCGAGTGGATCCAATTTTTATTATGTGATTTATCAACGTGATGACAGATGGAGTGCACGGGCTCCATGTGTCTATTTAAAAAAGCATGCAATCACCTTTGGGAATCAGCTTCCAGTCTAAAACGACTTTAAAATCTCTTTTGTTATTTCGGCCGCTTTATTTGAAAAGATTTTCATAATATGCCGTAGAAATTTGTCATTTTGTTTTTATTGTTAATTCTGTTTAATTGTGAACATTTCGAAATCTAAATATTTAATATTTATTCTTGGGTACGGGTTTAGAATAGTGTTATAGCATGATTAATTTGTTAAAGATCTGTTAATTCTGAAACAACAATTTATTGCTGTAGTGATCAATTTCAACATTTTCACAATACATGTATTCTAAAGTCATAGTTTTAAACTTAAATAGCTTCATTTACAATATTTCCGGCCATATATTATGCTAAATTGAGTCCCACGTCATAAAAGTCTTCAACTTTTAGAACCGTCCATAGCACACATTATGTCCAGAATTTGACGTTTTAACAGCTTAATTAATAAATTTGATAAAGAAAACTATTTCAGAACAACAATAATTTCTTATACACCTTTGATGTAATTAATTGTTCGTTTGACAAATTACGGTTTTGAAATAGGATACAACACATCTATATTAATTTACAGGGTCATATTTTGAATGTTAATAAACCAAGGTTCATTCAAGAAAATTATTGTTGTGTTCTGATAAATTAAGTGTACCTGGGCCCTGTTTCTCGAAATCTTAACTAAGATAAAACACATTCACTAAAATTGTTGAGCTGGGGCAATAATTAATTTACTACCCCTAATAAAGTCTGGCAATTAACAGTTGTTATATAACATCTAGGTCAACTGTGATCCAATGGTGTTCAGCGAAGCGCACTTCCTGCTCTGATGGCAGTTTGTGTTGTAATATTATGTGACTTGGAAATACGTTTAATAATTTAACAAATTCAAGAAGAAGAAGAACAACAAATTTTCGCATACATGTATTTCCAATACGACAATTTTTTTGTTTTGAAATATACTGTAGAAAAATAACTTAGTCCTCTAACTTAAGTACCACATGATAATAATGTAATAGTTAGTATTTCATTGTATTTAAATCTTATAATCCCTCTTGTTGTTTTCAAGTACCGTGAATTTATCGGAATCGAAATCCCAGATAGGATATAAATTTTGATATTATATGTAAGATATGCTTACAATTATACTCAGTTTTGATATTATTTGTAAGATATGCTTACTTATTATACTCATACTCATCGATCACTTTAGAGAATTTTGGCGCTGGTAAATGTAGCAAATGGTGGACCACCTTATTCTCACTCGATAATCGTCGCTATTTGATTCATTCTTGCATTTCCCATCAATGGTGATAGTACAATTTGAAAAATAATATCCGATTAGTCAAGTTTGTATATTTTACAAGCCGTATGAAGCCAGGGTTTAACTATCAAAATAATTCCTTCTCTTCGAAAAGAATTGACGGCCTTTTTGAATATTTCCTTCTAGTTCACTGTTAAATTCCACTTGTTGACCATGTTTCTTTTGAAATTCCCTAATATTACACAAAATATCATTATTGGAGCAGAGCTAATACGCATAGAAGCGAATGCTTCGGCCCATATCAACTGCCAATTAAAGAAAAAATAAATAAAGTAGATAATTTCTACGTTACAATTTAATTAAAACGTGTAATATATGAAGGCATATGCATATCAATAATGTAATAATAAATAATGGTATTGCTTGTACTTTTGTCTTGTCTATTTTACTTGTGTGTTTGAACATTTCTCTGATTATAATATAATCGCTTGGGCTGTTTTTTTTTTTTTCATTTGAGATACTAACCGAAATTTCCTATGAGAAACAAAATAAATTGTATACATGTTGATAAAATATCAAGCTTTATTCAAATGAGATGATAGAGAAGTAAAACATACATTTATGTCATTGCAATAAGACCAACACTGAACAGACCACAGTATGTCATTCTTGAATTAAGTGTAACAGGTAAAAAGAGTCACACTCCATCCAACTATTTCAGGAAATCCATTAACAGTGTCGCCTTTCGGTCTGAGATCAAAGGGGGTCTGAGATCAAAGGGCAATATTTCGTGTGAAAAGCGTGCTCTCCTGATAGTATAAATTCTATAATAAGGATGAGACTGAATCCACTATTAAGTGATGTGTTTAAATTTAGCTGTTCTCGTAAAACCCATATTTCCATAGGTCGGAATTGTGTATGCAAAGACAAGCTTGTTACACAAAGTGTGATGGAATCAGAGCATACCAGAAGATGTTCGATGGTCAGCTCCACGTGTTGGAGGCGGACGTGAGTTCCTGTTATTAGACATGATTAGTGTTATTTGGTATGTGATTTATCTATTGTTATATAGTGATGGAATTCTGTTTCCTTGGATAGCCCTATTTACGACCCAGGTAAGAAATACATTTATAAAATATAACGGTGACGAAACTTACAGGTTATCATTAATTGCGAGATCTTTTGTTTATAATTGTGCTTTCAAAACAGATTAGAGCATCTGATATCAATAGAGATTAGAATATATCGGATAATGATATGAAGGTTTAGCGGGATATCGGTAATAACGATATTGCATGCGACTGATTTTAAGACACACGCATTTATACTTCAGTGGTTCGCACGATAATATATAAACAAATTAAACCCACAAAAAAGACAAATATATAAATAATTGCAGCCCGACTATGGTACGAAGTATAAAACACGTAGTATTCACCAAGAAATGAAATACGTATATCTAACTACAGCACGTATAAATCCATGCATAAAGACCTACACTTAACAAAGACCAATCTGCTTAAAACACAAGGAAACAAGAAATCGCACGGTAAATTGGATTTAACACCTACGCGTCAGATAAAGCCTGTTGGTCCTTGATAAAACACCTTTGGTGCAGTTATAACACGCTTTCGAGAAAACTCACCAAACAAAGAATACACACCGTGTCAGTCGTTTTTAACCCGTTCGTTAATTAACACTCCGGTACAGAAAACGCACCGTCGCCGAGATTTTCACCCCTAGCGATAATTATATCACCACTCAGTCAATTTCTCAGCCCTGTTAATTAACACACCGTACCTACAGATTTTAGCCTCTTCGTATTAGATTTGTTGCGATAATTAGAATTTTACCGATATTCATAGAAATTTAACAAATCGGGAGATATCTATGCCCTAAACGTACAAATCTCACCTTTACTACTTCTCAGTGTAAGCTTATAGCACACAGGTTTTTTTGTGTTTTTTTATTTTAACCTATCACGTATGTGACGCACAATTATTTACTAGACGGTTCTTTATTGGTCTGTATCAGATAATTTTTTAAGGTTGAAATGGTTTATTTTTGTGAAAATTTCGTACAAATCTCTTCACTAGACCCTTGCAACTATTTACAGATATATTATTCATTTTAAAGGGATTGGAAAGTCCTAGATAATCCAGGTTTTCAAAAATAAAACTATAGTTTAGCGTTCAATTGCATTCGTAAACATGCTTTTATTTTTTAAATTCACACATGTGACATACAATTATGTTTTTTCTATCATATTTTCTATTTTCTTTAGGAACAAAGGAAGAAGCTTCAAAGGTGTATGGATATCATTCGAGGTACTATGGATGATAATGATGATGATGATGATCATGAAGAAAAATGTTGAATGTAAAAACTATATACTGTTACAAAGATAATAATCAATACATTCCCAATAAAAAAAAATAAATATATATATATTTTCATTATTACATCAACAAATATTTGTTTTAAAAGTATTATTATTTTTTCCTTTTCTTTAAAATGATTTTCTATCCCCAATTCTTTGTACACCTTTAACCTGGCATTACTAAAATTAAAGCAATATATGGTAGCATGGATTTTATCCTCAGTTGAATGCTACATTGTCACATAGTTTATAACTCTTACATCAGGGGTTTTTTTTTGTGTCTGTCCCTTATGATCGGCTGAAGTTTAGTGATTTTATTTTTCTCTTGATTTCTGATATTTTTAAAATCAAGTTATTCCATCGGATTATAATTTTGTTTTATATCTGTATCATTAGTCGAGTTTAAATTTTGAACAGTTTTACAATTCAAGTAATCTTTGTTAATATTGAACCTATCATTGAACTCGCTATAACATATATTAACCATAACAAATTCATTATGCATATTTTGTACACTTTAGTCCATGTATGATTTAGTATAATTATAAAATCAAAATCAACATGTTTTATTAAATTTTAAAATGACTTTGTATATATGTTTTTACATACCTATTGTATGCTGATTCAAGCCTATAAATTCATATCTTATCAACAGAGCTTGTACATACTGTTTTTTCCATATTCATTTTCATTGAAATCAGAACTTTTGTCAATTAAAGTCATTACAGTAATATTTAATGTTTAATTTTTGAACTACATGCATTAAAAATCTTAACTATTTCTTTATATATCAGACATGTGCAGCATACATATTTATTTTAGTCTATTATGGTACATTTTTTCTCAGTTGTTTGATGTTAATTATCAATGAATTTCCCGCCATTTTCATTTCATTTTCTCATCCGTCCCATTTTAAAACGACTTGATCCATTTTTCTGAAACTTCTGGAACGGGAAGTCACTCCGATTACAGCAATCCAAGTCTCAGTTATTTCCCTTTAGTTTTCAGATTATTTGTTTGCCCAGGTGCAATGTTTCTCACTATGTTTATACTTAAATTGTGACTTCGCGTGTTTTTCACCGATTTTGATAATTATTTTTTCTTGTTCTTTTTTCTTTTCAGATACTTGATATAATCCAAGTCACGTGACGATGAATATGAAAGCTTTCATATCGACAGTAGGCATGTTTTATTATAAAGTGTACCAGTGGGTATCTAACAAATGTAATGGTTTTATTAGAAAAAGGAAAAAGAGTTTTTAAATATTTTTCTGATCTTCAAAATCAGCATATATTTAACATATAAAATACTTAATGCCAGGTTTACTAATGTATTTTTTTTTATTAAAATGAATTACATCATTTAAGACAGACATTTTCCCCATCATTTTTTATCAAGATTTTAGAATACTTTGAAATAACATTTGTTTTAAAATTTTTAATTTATTTTTGTATAATTATAATGGTAAGTGTGTCTTCTTTAAAACAGACTTAAAAATATACTGATGAGAAAAATAACAGATCCAAAAATTGAATTGTTCAAACCCCAGTGAAAATTTGACTTGTCTGTCCATCCACTACATTATTGAAGTGGTCTTACATTTGTTTTGTAAACTTTGTATTTTTATGTCACGTGGAAATAAATTTATCCCTTTGTGTAATGGCTGTTTACGTTTTAGTATATGCCATTTAAAAAAAGCAGGAAAATGGTTTGGAAAATCAAATTTCCATGCTTATATTTTGCTAACATTTCGTCCAATTTATGTCTGTCCAGTTTTAGCGAAACGTTAGCATTATTTTAATTCTTTTTTTTCGGCTTCATATTACGTGATAGAATTTGAATAACCACTGCAAACAAAATGTGAGTGTAGTCTCGAATTTCCACACAGGATACGGATAATTTGACACAGGTAGTCAATTGGTTATGCCATTTTTACAGTTGTCTGTCCGAAAATGTTAACGTTGGCATTCATGATACGTTAGCACCACTAATTCGGCTTTCATAGCATTATTTACTAAAAATGTATCATTTTCGTTACGGCATTTAGAAAAGAAAACCGGATTTCCGATGCATAAACATGGATTTCCGATGGTTGGCATTCTTGCCTTATTCACTCGATCAAAATGACTTTGACCCCTGCAAAAAAGTGCTAACGTGTCAATTGTCAGACCGATTAAATAAACCCTCTGTCCTTACGTAACGTTAGCACATGCTTTTAAAATACTTTTTGTCTGATTTTAAATTTAAAACTCGCCCCAGGGTAGAAATACTATATACAATTTATTAATACCTTTCATTGCGGACTATTTGAATTTTTAGTCAAAAACAATAATTCATGTAATACAGTTATTTATAAAATGTCCATGTCTGTCCTTATGTAATGTTAGCAACAGATGCATGCCCGATAAATGTTTAAATTTTAGGTTATTAAAATATATGATTATATTTATTATATTAATCTTAAATTCTTAATATTATGCTTTATTTTGCATATAAAAAGTCTCAGTAACTACTTACATAAACACTATAAATAGAAATTTTCTTCAAACTTTAGTGCTAATGTTACAAATCTGCCAGAATGTCTGTCCACATGTAACATTAGCAATGCAATTAGTTTTTAAATTAACCCATGAAGTGTGTAGTTTTTAAAACGTTAACTACCCCCTATTGTGTAATTAATTTGACGAAAAACATCATTTTTGGACCTTTTTATTCCTGAATACAAATGATAGTAGTCTGAAACCATATTAAAACTAACGGTAAATAGAGTTGTCTCCCTTCAATTAGATTTCCTCGACCAGGCGTAATGTAACGTCCTACACATGCTGCGATCATATGTTCGAAAAATAGGTTGGGGAAAATACCTCCAAGGCGTTATATTACGCCCTACACACGGTGAAGGGCAGTTGTCCAGGACGTTATATAACGCTCTACGCATTTAACGGGTTAATAATTAATTTGTAAATCATATCCCATGCTTATATTTTGCTAACGTTTCGTCCAATTTATGTGTCCAGTTTTAGCGAAACGTTAGCATTATTTTAATTTTTTTTTTCCGGCTTCATATTACGTGTTAGAATTTGAATAACCACTGCAAACAAAATGTGAGTGTAGTCTCGAATTTCCACACAGGATACGGATAATTTGACACGGGTAGTCGATTGGTTGTGCCATTTTTACAGTTGTCTGTCCGAAAATGTTAACGTTAGCACTCTTGATACGTTAGCACCACTAATTCGGCTTTCATAGCATTATTTACTCAAAATGTATCATTTTCGTTACGGCGTTTAGAAAAGAAAACCGGATTTCCGATGCATAAACATGGATTTCCGATGGTTGGCATTCTCGCCTTATTCACTCGATCAAAATGACTTTGACCCCTGCAAAAAAGTGCTAACGTGTCAATTGTCAGACCGATTAAATAAACCCTCTGTCCTTACGTAACGTTAGCACATGCTTTTAAAATACTTTTTGTCTGATTTTAAATTTAAAACTCGCCCCAGGGTAGAAATACTATATACAATTTATTAATACCTTTCATTGCGGACTATTTGAATTTTTAGTCAAAAACAATAATTCATGTAATACAGTTATTTATAAAATGTCCATGTCTGTCCTTATGTAACGTTAGCAACAGATGCATGCCCGATAAATGTTTAAATTTTAGGTTATTAAAATATATGATTATATTTATTATATTAATCTTAAATTCTTAATATTATGCTTTATTTTGCATATAAAAAGTCTCAGTAACTACTTACATCAACACTATAAATAGAAATTTTCTTCAAACTTTAGTGCTAATGTTACAAATCTGCCAGAATGTCTGTCCACATGTAACATTAGCAACGCAATTAGTTTTTAAATTAACCCATGAAGTGTGTAGTTTTTAAAACGTTAACTACCCCCTATTGTGTAATTAATTTGACGAAAAACATCATTTTTGGACCTTTTTATTCCTGAATACAAATGATAGTAGTCTGAAACCATATTAAAACTAACGGTAAATAGAGTTGTCTCCCTTCAATTAGATTTCCTCGACCAGGCGTAATGTAACGTCCTACACATGCTGCGATCGTATGTTCGAAAAATAGTTTGGGGAAAATACCTCCAAGGCGTTATATTACACCCTGCACACGGTGAAGGGCAGTTGTCCAGGACGTTATATAACGCTCTACGCATTTAACGGGTTAATAATTAATTTGTAAATCATATCCCATGAAACTTCAGATTTAGATAATTTATTATTACATTAAAATTTTGAAGAAAATTATTAATATATATAAGCAACAGTTTATATCTGAAAGGAAAATAAATGTGCCATGCCTCTGTCCAATTCAAAAGAGACATTTTATATTTACTAAAATGGTCATCGATACTGTCTTATGACCCAAAAATAATAGCATCTTCATTCATTTAACATAATGCAATGTATCTTCTACCTATAGAGATTGCTATTTATATGAATTTTAATTTGCACCAATTGCATTTGATATAATTTCATCTAGAGTGATACGATTAAAAAAATTTCAATATGTTAGGTATAAAATGTTCAATAAAAAAATTACCTTTTTTAAAATATATTTTGGAAGAATATGTATCAATCTTCCCTGAGACAGGGATTTTGTAAGAGGAATAGGAATTTCATAATTCAGTTGGGATTGGGAACCTATGGTACACTTTAAAAAACCAGCGGCTGCCAGGCAGGATACGCCCACATTTTCGAGAGATGGATAGAGAACAAGCTAACAAGAAAGTGATTTTTCCTACAATCAAGGGCCATAATTCAGGAAATTACAATTCCTGAATTTTGGGCCGATTTTCACGAAATTCAAACTCGGCCATCCTTGGGGTGTAACTGTGATATAATAATACGTTTTTTTAAATCGAATAAAAATTATGACCTCTATAGAGTCCACAAGCTAAAAACGCGATTTTTCATACAATCAGGGGCCATAATTCAGTTAGTTACGGTCCGATATGCGCGAATATCGAAAGGAACTGAGATCTTTGGATTATAAACCTACATTTAAAGTTTCAACAAAATCGGATAAAAATTGTGACCTCTATAGGGTCCACAACCTTGATATACCATATTTTTATGCTATTTGAGAACAAATGGCGGCCATTTTGTCTGTCAATTTTGGGCCGATTTTCACGAAATTCGAACTCAGCAATCCTTAGGGTGTAACGGTGATGTAATAATACGAATTTTTAAATCGAATAAAAATTATGACCTCTATAAAGTCCACAAGCTAAAAACGCGATTTTTTGTACAATCAGGGGCCATAATTCAGGAAGTTACGGTCTGATATGCGCGAATATCAAAAGGAACCGGGATCTTTGGGTTATAAACTTATATTTCAAGTTTCAAAAAAATCGGATAAAAATTGTGACCTCTATAGGGTCCACAAGCTAAAAACGTGATTTTTCGTACAAACAGGGGCCATAATCCATGAAGTTTCGATCCGATACATGCCAATATCGAAAGCAGCTGAGATCTTTTGGGGATAAACCTATATTTCAAGTTTCGTCAAAATCGGATAAGAATTGTGACCTGTAGAGAGTCCACAAACAATTATGGACGGACGGACGGACAGGGGCGACGACAATATACGTCCACATGAAAATGTGGGCGTATAAAAATTGTGACCTCTATAGGGCCCACAACCTTGATATACAATATTTTTACGCTATTTGAGAAGGAACGGCGGCCATTTTGTCTGTCAGTTTTGGGCTGATTTTCACGAAATTCGAACTCAGCCGTCCTTAGGGTGTAACGGTGATATAATAATACGTTTTTTTTTAAATCGGATAAAAATTATGACCTCTATAGGGTCCACAAGCTAAAAACGTGATTTTTCGTACAATCAGGGGCCATAATTCAGGAAGTTACGGTCCGATATGCGCAAATATCGAAAGGACTCGAACATGGTGAACAGGAACACGGATAGAGGTAAACGATATTCCAACGTGAAAAATAATAGCCATAACAAGTCCACACTAAACTGGAATTTTTTAGCGGAACCCCCCCTCCTCCAAAAAGAAGACGAGGGGGACAGACCCAAAAGTGGTCAATATCTCAGCGAAGACATTAAGTGAAAATCAGCTTAGTGTGTTGAAGAAGGGACTAAAATTTACTCCCACCCCATCCAAAAGCAACACACAAGAAGTCAACGAGGATGTCAAAGAATTTACTAGAAAATTAAGAAATCTAGAATATTTTTATGATAACAATAATTTACCACCTGAATCCATAGTAAGGAACAAGACTGGCGGATGTGCTCCTCTCGGGCGAATCCCAGAACTCGATGA